CATATGATGCAAGAAAGCGGGGCGGAGTGAAAAAAGTCTAATAAAACTTTCTGATATATGCTAAGTCTAATAAAAAAATTTTTTTCTGACTTCAAGTAGTTATTGCGAGATGGCGGAGTGAAAATTCTAATAAAAATTTCTGATATATGCTAAGTTTAATAAAAATTTCTGATATATGCGAAGTCTAATAAAATTTGATATATTGAAATAATTAATTAAACAAAAGATTTTTCTTAAGTATTATATTATGAATTCTATTACACCTATACCATATACATGGCTAGAAAAGATAAAAAAAATCGAACTTGTGATCGATGTGGACATATGTCTGCAACACCACAAATGCTTCGTGTACATTTTAATCGAAAAAATCCATGCCGACCTCGAGTTATTCCTGTTACAAACTCTAAACATAAATCAAAATTGAAAGCCCCAGTAGTTCACGCACGAGGAATGGATCGAAGAAGAGAAAAACCACAAATCGACCCAGAAGCAGGTCCCGGTCCATCCACCCAATCCAATAGGGAAAAATTAACTGAACCAGAACCCCAAAAGATTATTATATCTCAAGAAGAATATGATTATCTTAAAGCTCTAGGAATGATAGAAGACAAAGAGAACAAGAATGCTACGAATTCAGATAAATATTTATCTCGAAAAGAATTTGAGTACTTCAAAGCTTTAGGTTTAATAGAAAAAGATGCCGTATTGGATACTGGTATTAACTTTATTCAAATTAGAGTTAGCGATCCAGAAAGACCCCATGATAATTTTAATTTATTAAGTAATTGGGAAGCCATAGTTCCATCCATAAAAAATCCAGCATATAGATTTATCAAACCAATATCTGATCCTAAAAAATATGCAGAAATGCCATATATGCCTCAGTTATTAGCAAATGCTAGAGATGAAATTACAAGAGTTCTAAAAATCGAGCTCAATGAAAAGGATCAAATAAATACAGCATTAGTTGTCTTTTGCTATTATGAAAAAGTAAATAAATCGCAAAAAAAAGAGGATAAGGAAAATAATATATTGTATCGTCATCATAGAAGTTTAATGCACCCTATTTTATCTGAAAATGATATAGATGACCATATATCTCGATCAACTTCAGAAATAGATAAAGACATTGAGGAAATGTTAAGTAAAGGCGATTAGTTCGAATAGAAAAGATATATATTGAGGCATATACCCTTCGTCGGGCTACAGGAGGATCTTTTAAACCTACACCTAAAAAGCTCGCAAATACAAAATGTACTATTAATCCGGATAATTCAGATATTATTAATCCAGCTACAGGAGAGCCAACAGACAATTGTCTTAAAGGTGCATTAGGTTGTTATTTTGCAGATAAAGCAGGCATAACAGATCATCTAGGAAGACGTATATATAGAGCAAAAGTCTTCGACAATATTTAGAGCGAGTTAATTTAGATGGAATTCCTATGCCTACTCCAATTTGCTCACGTATATTCAATAAGATTGAAGAAATGAATCCAGATATCTCTATTAATGTCTGGGAATGGAAAGAGGAAACAGCCACTCCGAAATCTGTAATTGCTAGTAAGAATTTTAAAAGACCTCATAAAATTAATCTTATGGCTCTTACTGATATTATTAAATCTGAAGAAGATAAATATTGTCAAAAGAACCACTTTCTCTGGATAAAGAATATAAATGGATTAGTGTTTAAGGACACAGCTCATCACGGAAAAAAATATCTATGTCATGGTTGTACCCAAAGTATGCCATCAATAAAAGCACTACTCCATCATCAAGAATGGTGTCCTGGTATACATGAGGAAGCCCCTCAAAAAGTTACATTACCAATAGAGGGAGTTAATAACTTTGAAGAGTTTAAGAACTATGACCGAATGATTAATGCTCCATGTGTTATTATAGCCGATTTTGAGTCAGACAACAAGAAATGGGATATAAAGCAAGTCTCAGAATATGGCGGGAAAATGCGTAAGATTGCAGAACAAAAGGCTAACAGTTTCTGCTATTTGGTTTACTGGATCGATACTGGAAATGTATGGGGGCCTTTTATATATCGAGGAGAAAATGCTACTCAGGAATTTGTTAAAAGAATTGATAAGGAATTGGTTCAAATTAATAATGTCTTAGCTATAAAGCATGACCGAATTGAGACCGAAGAAGATAAAAAGAAATTCAATGAAGCAGATAACTGTTGGATCTGTAAAGGTAAATTCGTTGTAGATGAGAATAAAGTAGCTAAATTAGAAACCGAATATAAAAGGCTTAATGAGATCTCAGATAAATTACCAAAAGATGATGAAAGATATATACCAATATGGAAAAAATTGGTAAGTTAAATGAAGAAATCGGTAAGGAGTTAGGAAAGAATAAAAAGGTTTGGGATCATTGCCATATAACAGGTAAATTTCGTGGTGCTTCTCATAATCTTTGCAATCTCAAACTTCAAATCGAACCTTGGAAGACTCCTATTCCAATTGTATTTCATAACTTTCGAGGATATGATTCCCACTTAGTATGTGAATCTGTTGGTCGATCGGTTAATGCACATCAAATCACGGTTGTAGCTGAAACGTTTGAACGATATAAAACAATGAAGGTAGGACAACTTAAATATATTGATAGCTTACAATTCATGAATAATAGCTTAGCCAATCTTACAAAGAACTTAAATGGAGAGCATCCAATAACTACTAAGCATTTTACAAAACTAGGCTATTCTTTAGATCAAATAGCTTTAGTAAGCCGAAAAGGAGTTTATCCTTATGATTATATCGATTCTCTTAATAGATTCTCAGAAATGGAACTTCCACCATTTCACGAATTTCATAGTGTTCTAAGCGGAAAAATTAATCAAAAAGATTATGAATATGCCAAAACTGTATGGAAGGAATTTAAATGTAGGAATCTAGGCGACTACCATGATCTTTATCTTAAAACTGATGTACTTAATCTTGCGGATGTCTGGACCAAATTCCGAAAAACATGTATAGAATATTATGAACTCGATCCAAGTCACTATGTATCTGCTCCAGCTTTATCTTGGGACGCTATGCTTAAGATGACTGGAGTTAAAATCGAATTATTTACAGATATGTCTATGCATGATTTTACTGAAAAAGCTAAACGAGGAGGTATATCTATGGCAGGTCATCGATATTTTAAGGCCAATAACCCTAAAATCGGTAAATTATATGACCCATCTAAACCTACAACATGGATCTCATATGTTGATGCAACAAATCTTTATGGTTGGGCTATGAGTCAATATTTACCTATTGGAGATTATAAATGGGAAGGAAGAGAAGTCCATTTTAAAAACAATCCAGATTTTCAAAAAGAAATGCTTAATAAAATTCTTAAAACTAAGGCCGATTCAAAACGAGGATATTTTATAAAAATTAATTCTCATTTTCCTAGTAAGTTACATGACTATCTTAATGACTTACCTCCTGCGGTTGAGAATGTCGCAATAAAAAAGAATCAGCTTAGTCCTTATAATATTGATCTTATAGAGAAATTGGATAATGGTCACTTTACTAAAACTGAAAAATTAATTACCCATCTTGGACCACGAAAAAACTACGTTATCCATTATCAAGAACTTCAATATTATATTAAGTTAGGAATGGTAGTAGATGAAGTTTTAGAAGTTTTATCATTTAATCAATTACCTTGGTTAGCTCCATATATTGCATTCAATACTAAGAAACGTCAAAACGCGAAGAACACTTTTGAAAAGGACTTCTTTAAACTTATGAATAACTCAGTATATGGCAAGACTATGGAAAATGTTCGTAAATATCAAGACGTTAAGCTTATGAAGATGACTAATGAACAGGATGAGAAAGTATTCTTAAAAAAGGTATGTAAGCCATCTTTCAAATATGCTAGACGACTTGGTCCTTCACTTATAGGTGCACACATGGGGAAGGCTAGTGTAACTCTCAGTAAACCGATTATAGTTGGTGCTTCTGTTTTAGGACTCAGCAAGTTTCATATGTATAAGTTTTGGTATGGATATGTAAAAGAGAGATATGGTAATAGTGCTAAGTTCGGTTATAAGGATACAGATTCTTATATATTTGAAGTTGAAACAGAAGATATTTATAAGGATATGGCAGAGCGTCCTGATATCTTTAATTTTAATGGGGATGCAACTGTTGGAAAATTTAAAGATGAGACAGCCGGCCAAGTAATCACAGAATCATTTCATATTCGATCAAAACTTTATCATTACGTGTTAGCAGACAATTCCACAAGATCTAAACATAAAGGTGTTAGTAAAAATGGTATGAATGAAATGGCTTCAGATACATACACTCCCATGACAAAAGTCTCCGTAATTTTTGTCGATCACATAGTAAAACATATGAAAAATCTATTTTTTCGAAGCGCTCTACTGTACGTATCTACTA